GATATGTATGCTAAATCTTCCTTTGACTTCTACTTCACATTCTAAATAACATTTGAAAAAAAATAGCAAGCAAGGATAATGAAAATTCTTTTACGTGAATGATAAGTTTTCACTTTGTGAATTTGACAGTTTTTTTCAAATACATCCATATCTTTAGAATGTTACTTGAAAATATAAAAGTATTTCATTGCAGTCATGCTTTTAGCTGATCCATATTGTAATTGTTATTTCAATGGGCAAAAGTTTCAATATCAACAATTTTACATTGTTCAAATTAATAAAATGTTTTGGTTATAAGAGAGTGAAATAATTCAAAGTTAAGAGTGCATAATTAGGTCACAGTATATACTGCTGTCTTTTGACAAAATGTCACTTAAGTCAAGAGTGTTTGCCCATTTTGAATCTTTCTTCATACTCTTCCAGAGTTTGAGAAATTGGTAAATAATTTCTCTAGAACTTACCATAAAAGGAGTTGCAGTGGTTTACAATAAAAAAAAAATTGTCTCACCTGGATTCTTGTTATGCAGAGTGCAATTTATGAGATAATAACACTGGATTTACATAGACAAGCTTGTTATATTTCAAGCTCAAACCTGTGATTTTTTCTTTTTTATTTGTTCTTCATATATATTACATCCCAACTGCAGTTTTCTCTCTCTCCTCTCCTCCCAGTCCCCACTTCTCCTCTCTCCCCCAGATCCCCTTCTCCCTTCCCTTCAGAAAAAGGCGGCCCTCCCAGGTTTATCAACTAAACATGTCATAACAAGTTCAGACTAGGCATGACCCCTTATATTAAGGCTGGTCTAGGCAACTCAGTAGGAGGAGAAAGGTCCCAAAAGCAGACAAAAGGATCAGAAACAGCCTCCCTCCGTTCCCACTAGTATGTGTTCCACAAAAACAGCAAGCTACACAGTCATAACATATATGCAGGGGACCTAAATCAGATCCATATAGGCTGCCTGATTGCGAGTTCAGTCTCTGATCCGCTATGGCCGCTGCTTAGTTGATTCTATGGGCGATTTGCTTGTGGTCTTCTTGGTTCCTATAATCCTTTGGTGTCCTCTTCTGCAGGATTCCCTGAACTCTGCCTAATCAAATCTATGAATTTAAAGCAGTATTTTAAGCTGATGTGTATGTATTTAAGTCTGGGAAGGCATACCACAGATCATGGGGCAGCAAACACAAGTATCTGGCTGTATGAGTGATAAAAATTGCATAATGAATGAGGGGAGTTGGGTATGAAGAAGAAAAAGTGTAGTACAGAAGCTGGTAAGGGTTGGTCCGAGGGTAGTGGTGTTTACAACTAAATGATCACAACCAGTTACAGATTTCTTTGTTGCCGGGGGTGGGGGTG